CAGTGAAGATTAAGTATCACAGATGTCCCACGCGACCTGATAATTTTACCCAGGGGTCGCTTCTGAATGAACTCATCCCATAAGTTGGGACACTACCACTAGGCAAGTGGCATTTGAAGCATAGAGCTTCCTTACACAGAACCTAGCCAGATGAAAAGCCGACCTGTGCAGTGGCTCTCCTGGCTGGGGCAACCTGGCTGGGTGCCAGGCCGGTGATTACCGGCAAGGGAAGAGCCAAGAGGGTCGGAAACTGTTCTGAGCAGAGTATACCTTTCAGCCCTTTGTAGACCTATGCAGCTGTGGTAATTTGCATAGATCGAAGCTATTTATGACTCTGCACATTTGCCCTGAAAGCAACATCTCATTTTGGGGTGGCAGCTGCCCACACTGTTCTGGCTGCTGCTGGGGTTTTCCAGAGGGCCACCACGCTGCCACATCACCTCGGAGTATCTTCCCCCGGTTGTCCCTCCAGTGTGCTGAGGTTTCACTTTGGCTGGTCCAGTCAGTTAGCAACCGTGCGTGAAGCACCTCTGTGGGCCAGACCTTGTTGAAGGTTCTCGCAGTGTGAGGATGTGTGTGTTATAAGTTCCGAGGGTTTGCAGACCCTGGCCGAAGAGCACCACGCTTCGGAGTCTCGGCCTCTGCTGTTTTCACTTCTGTCTCATTGCTCGGTTTTCAAATCAGGCTTTTGCCACCTTGCGGGCCTGAGTTTTGTCTTCCCGTGCGCTGGTGCTGGCGAGCTATACAGCATTACATCACGCAGTCAGGAAACACCCTGTGGTCTGGCTTCTGACCCAGAGGAGAGCCCCCCAGGGTCACCAGTCACCTACACCTGTTCCGCTCCCCCACAAAAGGGGGTGTCCTTACCTCAGGCTTCCTTTATTTTTTAATTGTGATGATGATGGTGGTTGTGGTGGTGGTGGTGGTGGTGGTAGTGATGGGTGTCTCTCAAATACCTTCATGTGTCTGAAGGTGGTACCTGGTCTGGCTTTCCCAAGGTCGTCAGTATGCCCTGTTCTGCTTTCTTCTGAGATGTTTCTAACATAGCTTCTCTCCCCAGCTCTCCCTTCTTCCTTTAGGCTCAGGAAACCCCAATTAACACTCTCCCTTTTTCTCCCAACCCAACAGATTCCAGACCAGTGCACTCTCTCCCACCTCTGGGCTTGGCAGTGGGTGATATACTTTGTGCTGTTGACCAGGAGTGCGGTTTTGTAAGACAGCTTGGTTTTTCATGGAAACCTCAGTGGTTAGGCCCTGTGCTCAGAGGTAGGCAGCTCCCTCCTGTTGTGGCTGGGAGCTTGGCCCTCTATTTCTTGTCCTCTCTAGCTCTCCATTGTAATGCAGGAGGCTGAGACCTGAGGGTCCCTATGATCCTGGGTCAGTTGGTCTGGGGACAGGTTTGGCCAGTGGAGAAGCTAAATGGGGGCTGTAGAGAGAAGAGAGAACCCTTGGCCTTCTTGTCTTCCCAATACCTAGGGCAGCACCCATAGCTCTAGAGCCCAGGGCAAAGGCTTTCACAGCCTCTGGCTACACCCTCAAGTCCCCAGTCCCTTCAAATCTGGATAGAACCTTCCCACCCCTTCTAGTTTCTGGGTGGTCGTGGACATCCTGCAGTAACAGCTTAGCTTTGTTGAGTCCTGAAAATTGAAACACTGTCTTTGTTTCTTGTTGGAACCAAGGCTACTAGGAGCCAGGACTGAAGCATATAGCTGCCTTTATAGTCTGCCCTTGGATGAAGCAGTATCCGGCTGCATCTCAGGTATTCTGTAGGTTAGAAGTGAGATAATAGTATGTCCAGTTCACGCTCAAAAAGAAACGGCCCAGGGTGTGAACATCAGCAAGTGCTGATCATTGAAGGTCACCTCAGAGATCACCATCTTCCTTTCCTTTCCCTCCCTCCCTCCCTTATCCCTCCTTCCCTTCTTCCTTTCTTTCTTGCCTTCTTTCCTTCGTTCCATCTTTCTGGATCGACTGACAGGAAATTGTTTTGACTGCAAATAGATTTCCTAGGGTCAATTACTTCTCTATGGGCCTTGTGTCCGTTGTCTCTCTTGGCACCATCAGCAAGCTACGCATCTAGATATCTGTGAGTTTGTCTGGGAGCTAAGCACATGCAACTCTTTCTATATATATGGATAGCAAACTTGACATTCTATATTCTATATGTGCAAGTGCATTTTGAACCTAATCCATTAGTAAAGGCTTACTTAAGTACCCACAGTCACAAGTCATTACATGGACTATTAAAATCAGCGAGGCTCGTGTTCCTCCTGGTGGCTTTCATTTTGGGGGTTGATACTAAAGAGCATGTTTTGCTCGTATTTCTGTGCCAGGTTCTTTAGTGTGTCAATCTAGTGGGGATGAACTGGATCGTGAAGGCAGAGACAGAAGAAGGCTGTATGATTTCCCCAAAGATCACCACCCCCTTTGGAAATAACTCACAGGTCCTCCCCGTCCCCCCCCCCCCCCCCCCCCCCCCGTTTTTCAGTGTCACTTGAATAGCTTGATGTCAGCAGGAGATGCAGCTATGAACCCCTCCCCACCACGGTGGCACTCTTTCTCCAAAATGCCACATGTGCTGTGGGGCACAGCATTGCTTTACCTATAGAGAAGAGAGAGAATGAAGCAGAGATTGCTTAGAACATCTTTCTCCCCAGATGTGAGAGCTGCTATTTTTTTTTCTTCTGAGGAATGAATATTCTCTATTTCATGGCAATTTCTATGCCAGTCTTGGAGTGGGGTGGGGGGAGAAGAACAAGAGAACAAGAGGAAAGGAGACTTTGCGATTGCTGATTTCTTTCTAGGTAGGTACAGGGACGAACGCACACTATATCTGCCAGAAATATGCTCACTACGGCTACCTGTCCATTACAAGAGTCACCCATGTGTCTGCCAAAATAAACACAGTTCAGCCCTGTGCTGTATCTTTAGACAACATGAAAAGATGCCAGTTTTTAAAACTGAGTTTTAAATGTTATAATCACACTCTGGCCAGTCCTTCCTGTCTCCTCAGTGAGGACTTTTTTTCAGGTAGCCGTCCTTGAGCAGGAAGGGCTTGGACGTGCCTTCACTGTCTTCTAAGGTAGATCAGGGGAGGGAGAGGGGTTCTGGAAGGGACTGTGGAGCTTAGCAAGTGAGCCCGCACCCCAGAGCAATTCACAGTGATCAGAGCAGAAATTTCCGTGGTAATTTTGCATATAATGGCTTTCATGCCTAATTTTCAGTGCATCTGCACATGTGTTCCATATGTTCACCCAGAGTGTTTTTTAGCTTCCAGCTGTAACACGCTCAGAAACGACCTGTGACATTTTCACATTTGCAAACGGAAAGTACCAGCGTCTGTGCGGGTGAGTCCGCAGAAGCCGCACCTCCACTTCGCTGTCACTTTCTGCCCCGTTGCCATTTCACAGGGTAGGTTGAAAGGGGCCCCTAAGGTGATCCCGATGGGTCCCAGTGAGTGAAGAGAGCCAATGTAAAGACAGAGGCCAATTGTTGTAAAAGGTCAAGGCTGCTTCCATCAGCTGACATAGGGACCGGCGCAAAGGTGTCAGAGCCATGAAAACGAAATGGCACAAAGAAGCGGGAGCAGGCACACTGCCCTCTCCGCTCCACATCCTGGGCAGGTTTGCAGCCGGTCTTGACGCTGGACGGGTAGGACTGGGGGCTGGAGGGTGTGTTTGCTTTGGCTGAGGGAGATATTTTAAAAACAGGCTAAAAATAGGGAGAGCAGGAAGGCACCCATGCTTTATCGAAGGAAAGTATGTCGGTTGCTAACAGTGAGGGCCGCGTTCTCACGGGCTAATGCAGGTTAATGGAAACATCGCTCCCACAGGGTTGGTGAGATCACAGGCAGCTGCAGTGCCTGGTACCTGAAGTGGAGAACTGCCTAGAAGAATGGCTTTGGGATTGATGGGCTTTGCCGAGAATGTTCTGGACTCATACCATGGCTAGGTGACCTCCTACTTCCGAGGCAGACCTAGCTCAGCCCCTAAGGGTGCAGCTGAGACACAACTAAGAGGTCCCCTCTGGTCACAAAGGTGTGGCCCTCCTATGAGCAACCAGACACAGCCCACCATTTTTGGAAGAACCAGCTGTGCAGGTCTTGTGTCTTCCATTAGAGAAGTCAGGGAAGAGACATTTACACTGAGCCAGCATATTGGAGCCAAATTATAGGCATGATTGAAACATTTGTAAAAGAAACAGACTTTCTCTACATATATTTATATAGACAGATCTCTTGACATTTCAGTTTGAAACCCAAAATGAGATGTACACGAGATCCAGGAAAAGAGATCCTATTTAGTTTTACTTTGGGGTGGCTTTCATTTTCTACCAATAAGAACTTGTATGTTTCTGTAATTAATGGTGTGTACCTTTCAAAGTATCGGGACATTGCTTTCCAAGAAGACAGCTTGTTATTTATAATTAATATTAATTATTATTTTTTGTCATTATCAATTAGACAATCTGGCTTCATGTGCTCTATATTGGCTCGATGCCTATGCAGTAGCTGTGTGACCTTGTCCAGGTCACTAAAACCTTTTCTAACCTCAATTTCCTGGTCTGAAACCTAAGACAATTGGCATGAATGAGTGAGTATCAAACTGTCATCCTGGACTCATTAGAAAACACAAAAAACAACTCGGTGAATTCCAGTCATCATCAAAAAGAGTAGGATAAAAATGTTGGGGTGCATATCATGTCGTGTGACCCGTTACTTCTGCAAGCTTTCATTTCAGATATGCGAGTAGCCCTAGATATTGTCTACTGTAGACTGCCATGTGAAAATTTGCCTCAACTCTGGAGAAGTTTTAAAGTTTAAAAACATAGCAAGAGATTACATCCGGGTCCTTTCAGGTTCAAAGTCCGGGCTGCACTCTTAGCCACACACATTAGTACCTATGAACAGAGTGCTCAGAGCAGGGAGGAGAAGGACGGGAAGGAGCCTGTACACTATCATAAGGAAGAGCTCAGCCACAGAAGGGGCTCCCTCCAGAGAGGGAGGACGAGCTCCATTACCAATTCAGCCAAGGCCAGGGACGAAGGCCTCCGGACTGCATTTTCAGAGGACCACTGAGACATTTGCAGCAAGCATCTCTCTTTCCTTGCTTCTTCTGTCCCTTCCACAAGGGTATGCAGCAGGGACAGGCTGCAGGTGCTCTTCTCGGTGGCCTCACACACAAGGAGAGAGGAAGTATTGGGGCACTTCACTCTTGTTTTCCCCGAGAATCCAGGATGAGCATCGTCATCACTGTCAATCAACCAACTGACTTTAAAACGGAAGCAATCAATGAATAGCTGGCAACCTGTAGATCACGCACTTGGAGGACAAAAGACCTGTTTCTTACACAGATTGTTGACCTGGCTCCTCTGCTTGGAAGATTTTGTCCTGAAGGAAAACTGTTAACAAGATTCATCTTGCAACCAGACTAAGCAACAGGTTTTGGGAGCGTCAAATTTGCCTCTTCTCTCATGTTACAGGTATGGGTCTGCCATGAGGGGAGATAAGGGTCCTTCTGGCCCTGATTTTCTTTCTAAATTGAATAAAAAAAGATGTCCTTAACGTTATTTCATCTTTCCTGACTCACCAATATGAAACGGTATCTTTCTCTGATTGACACACGGGCCATATGAGCTAACAATGGCCTTAGGGATAAATTATTGTCAGCAAAACCCTGTGGCTGGGCTGGAGGAAGACTTGTCAGAAGTGATTCCTGAGGAAGGAGAGCAGTAGAAGAGTCCGGATTCCATTCAGGAGGGCCAAAGGCTGTCAGGAACGTGTGGAGCTCTGTGCCAGTTTGACAGGGTTTTCATTTCGTTCCGGAGTGGGATGGGCGTGATGTCTCTGAACCTCACAATTAAATTCCGTCCAGGAGCAGAAATAAGCCGAGGGGTCAGGATTGCCTCCACTAACATTACTCATATTTAACAGTTGAAACTGACTCCAGAAGGGGTTACCCCTGCTGACCAGGCCGAGTCCTGCCCCCCTGCTCTCAGGAGAGTGACACCAGGCAAGTCAGACACTCCTCTCTGAGCTTCACAGAGTGTAAGGAAGTGCCTGCCACTAGGAAATGTGAAGTGTCGGGGCAGAATGAATGAAGGTCAAGTTAAGGTCCATTCCCTGTCCCCATCCTTGTACTGTTTGAGAAAAGCAAACTGTCTTCTTATTTAGCTCCTCAGAAGTGCTATCGGATTCAGTTACTCCATATTGAAAAGGTTACTGCCTCACAGAGGGAACGTGTGCCTTGGGGAAGGTGAGCCTTGTCCACAGGGTGATCAGACTAAGAGGGAGCATCATGCCACTGGTAGTTGAGACACACCATACAGAGAAATGAGAACTTGGGGTTTGATGGCCTAACATAGCCTTAAATAAGATGGTTCTATATATAGAAATCTCCACAAAGAATGTCAGGCTGCAGTGTATATTTAAAGACAAAAGTAGCCTATTTTCTCCCCCCTTACTGCACTGGTGGACAGGATCAGTGTGTCTCCAACAGCTTTAGAACTTCTTGGGGAGTTTGCCAACCCTTTTAAAGACTTTTTACAGTTTCACAAAAAATGGACCAGACGAGCTGATTGACACAAGCTTGCTCCGACCTTTCAGCATGGCACGGCTGCCCAGCCAACAGAGGTCTGTAGGCCGCCTTCACAGTGTGCATGGTGCTGTCTTGAGGATGTACCTGCACAACAGTCCATCTTCAGGGAGCCTATAGCCTGGGGGGTGACGGAGACTGCAAGACACTGCACACAGGCACCAGACGTCAGCTGGTGAACCCCGAGGCAAGGGCTCTGCTGGGTTCCGAGTGCTGGGCTGGGTGTGCCCTTTCACACACTTTCAGAGGTGGTGTCTGTATTGTTTGCAAGTTAAAGGTGAGGGCATAGGGAGGGCTCAGTGATGAAGAGGACTCACAGCTCTTCCAAAGGACCCAGGTTCAGACCCAAGCACCCACGTGAAGAGGCTTCCGGCCTGCAAACTCTACAGGTGGATCTGGTACCCTCGTCTACCTTCCACAAACACTGTGCTCATGTGCAAGAGCTCACACTCGTACAAATAATTAAACATGAAAGAAAAAATATTTCAATGAAAGAAGGAAAATACGTGTATGTATGGGGAGTGAGTGATGAGGGTCCAGAAAATGGATGTGGTCCAGACCTGATGGACCAGACAGCAGGGGGTGGGCCTGCAAAACAGGGCGGTGGGTGTGTGTGTGTGAGAGAGCTCTAAGATCCTCTCCTTACAAAGGCCTGGTCTCTGCATTTCCAGGACAGTTTCTGACGTCCTCTGGAAGAGAAAACTGCAAGAGAAGAGGGTTCCCTCCTGTTAGGGGAGGAAGGACACAAGGGGCTCAAGTCACAGACTTTAGTGCCAGGCAGGATACTGTTTAGTACAGTTGCCCTCAGTGACTACAAAGACCCAGCCGCTGGTATACTGCTTTCAAACAAATTTCCAGGGTCAGAACCAAACCTGGAGGGGTGGTGGTGGGGGGGTGATTTTAGCAGAGATGTCCTGGCTGGATGAAGGATGTCAAAGATGGTGAAGATGTATGAGTGGCCCCGGAAGGCAGGCGGCCACTCTTAGAACCTCTGAAGGCCTGAATGTTTCTAGCAGCGTGAGTGGCTGTTGCTCACATGGTTTGCACTGAAGGAATCTCACAAGCAATGGTTATGAAGCTGTGTGGGGAAAGTGAAACCGCCTCAGCCTGTCAAGGAATTTCCATAGGGTTTGTAAATGCATGTGGTCAGCATGTTTTCTCATGGGAACAGCATTCCACGCCACACCTTGGGGAGCCTGTACCCTCTGTGTGCAGATCCGAAAGTCACGTGACACGTGATCCTCCCTTCTAGCTCTGACCATCAACTTCCTATAACTGGACACAAAAATCTTCACTGAACAGCTAGTTTAGAGCGCACTCTGTTTTGTATAGAACCTTCTGGAAAAAAAATCTTTCCCAGTGGTAGGGCTGGCTGCTTCAGAAGAGTCGGCAAACAAGCAGGTCTAAGCTACTTCAGAAATAAACTTCCTTATGCTCTGCCGCTCAATTACACTGAGCAAACACGCAAGATAAGCCAAGCTCACTGTGTTCAGTTACTCCCCGTGGAACGCCACTGTCCCCTTCCTCGGTTTAAACTGCACAGGCAATGCCATCCTTCGCCGTATAACTCTGACTCTTGGCCCTGTATAGAACTAGGCCTTAGCTCAGTGAGAGACCTCAGCAGGGACTAGGGGTGGATGTAGACAATTCTCTTGCTTTAAGAAGGTGTACTGGCTGGTTCTGTGTGCCAACCTGACACAAGTAGAGTCATCAGAGGGGAAGGAACCGCGGTTGAAGAAATGCCTCTATGAGATTCAGCTGTAAGGCATTTTCTTATTTAGTGTCCAATGTGGGAGGGTCCAGCCCATAGTGAGTGGTGTCATCCCTGGGCAGGTGGTCCTGGGTTCTATAAGAACTCAGGCTGAGCAAATCAGGGGAAGCGAGCCAGTAAGCTGTACCCCTCCATGGCCTCTACATCAGCTCCTGCCTCCAGGTTCCTGCCCTCTTTGAGTTCCTGTCCTGACTTCCTTCAGTAATAAACAGTGATATTAAAGTGTAAACCAAATAAACCCTTTCTTCCCCATCTTGCTTTTTGGTCCTGGTGTTTCATTGCAGCAACAGAAATCTTATCTAAGACAGAAAGACACCTAGGTAAGTTTGTCTTCCCCCTTTGAGGACAGCATTGTCTCTAATGTAATCCACAATCAATTTTCAGTTTCCTAACTTCTTGATTGAAGCCTAAACATGGCCTTTGCTCAACCATTGGGGAAGAATTCCCAGAAAGCTTTGTCCTGTTAGAGAAGGATTTTCTCTTTGTCATGTTTCCCTATCTCCTGCATTCATACCGGATCTACTGTACTGAGTCTTATCCGACATTTATAAACCCATTTCAAATAGAATCTGAGCTCGTGGTGATCAGTTTGCATGGTTCTAATCCTCGCAGGGAAAACCTACCAACAGGCTTCCATGCCTCTCTTCATACATGTGCCTATATATGTATATCTGTATGTACTCACTCTAGTTTCGATCTGTCCACTGCTTGTAAGCAAATAGTTTCCAGCTGGCGCTTTAACCCCTTTGCTTGTACACACTTGAATTTCCCTACTAGTCTATCTCTGTAGCATGACTGTAACACAACTCTTAAAGCATAATAAGGCCAAAATGAATCGCTGTTTTGTAGGCCAAAAGGGTCAGATATCAATGATTTGATATGGTTTTACGTAGTTTAATACCCACTTATTCAGCAAAGCCTCAAGCGCCTGAAGTGAGTATTAAGCCAATTTCCACGGGAGATTAAAAAATGAGAAGGACGTGACGTAGGTTCTCTTTGGCACGTGGACTGTCTACCACAGTAATGGGCACAGATAGAAAGGGATGAACCCCTCAGGAAGGGGAAGCAGCTGTCTGGGTGGAAGGTGGGACCCTGCTTTAAAATGGGAAATGCACATTACTGTAGTCTCCTGCTGAAGTCCAGAAGCCCGCTACAAAACTCTCCCACTAAGAACATTTGGGTTTTTCACTGCCTGTTAAGGCAAGGTCAGTCTGCAGACTGGCCTTCATCCCTCTAATGTTCTCCTTCCTAGTTCTTTGTACCTATAACGCCTTCCCATCTATTTCTGCTATTCCTTCCTCCAGGAAAGTTCTCCTTCAGAAAGAGTCGGAAGTAATGGTTAAGAGTGGCCACTGAAGCTGGGTGGTGGTGGCACACACCTTTAATCCCAGTCCTCAGGAGGCAGAGGCAGATGGATCTCTATGAGTTCAAGGCCAGCCTGGTCTACAGAGAGAGTTTCAGGACAGGTTCCAAAGCTACCCTGTCTTGAAACACCAAAAAACAAAAACAGAAACAAAAACAAAACAAAACAAAACGAAACAAAACCAAAAAAAAAACCCAGCCAAACAAACAAACAAAGAGAGGTCACTGAGTCCTGTTTTCTGGGTTCAAATCCAGTGTGTAGTTCCTGACAAGTTGATAAATTACTAAGAGTGCCTCAACTTACCTGCCAGTAAAAGAGAAATGATATTTATGCACTGCCATAGAATTGTTGCTTTAGTCTGGGTTTGAGTGACCCTCGAAAGTCTCTGTATTGTTGGCTTGCGCTCCAGAGTGGCAGTTCTGGGAGGTGGTGAGACCTTCAGGAGGTGGGGCCTAGGGAGAGGACACAGGCTATTAGAAGCATGCACTCAAAAAGGATTTGGGGACCCTGGCTCCTTCCTATTTGTGCTTTTGCTTCAGAACCATGATTTGAGCAATTTGTTCCACCACTCTCCGGCACTGCCATCTGGCACTCCTAGCAGGGAGTCAAAACCACAAGTTGACCCAGCTGTGGGCTAGAACTACAACCAGGTACCCAAAACTTTATTCTTTATGAGTCAAACATCTTAGTTTATGACTAACACAAGTGTGAATGTTAATTTGTTACTCAATAAATGTTATATTTTACACAACTTCTGTATGTTCAACCTTATTCATCTTCAAAGGCTCCAAGCAAGGCTCCTGTGCTTCCTCCCAAGTGACCGACACAAGTACTCCTTCCTTCCTGCGGTGACTTTCCTAGTGCTGGGATATGGCACTCTGACCAAGGCAATGAATAAAAGAAAGAATTTATTTGGAGCTTATGGTGTTGGAGGGTCAGAGTCCATGGTCATCACGGTGAGGAGCACGGTAACAGACAAGCAGATGTGGTGCTGGAGAGGTAGAGAGCTCACATCTTGAGACACAACTACGAGGCAGAGAAAGCTAAGTGGAATGAAGAAGTCATCTGTCTTTGACCCCAGCCCATGGAATGGACCTCCTTCATTTAGGGTGAGTCCTCCCACTTTAGTTAACCAAATCTAGGCTTTCCATGGTGATTCTAAATCGTTTATATTGAAAATCAAGATTAATCATCACAGCATTTCGTTATAAAGGCATGATTGGGTGAAACCCTGAGGATATGACTGAACTCAGTCTCCAACTCTTCTTCCTTCTCTGGAGGTGGATTTATACCACTATGCTCAAAGCCTCAACCTCCTCCTCCAGTCATATGGTTGGTCCTTCCATGGTGACCAGGCTCCTCCATTCTAAGCCACCTCATTAGCTACTCAGATATGGTCAAGTAACCCACCATGGACAGCAACCAACTTTTTTTATTATGGAACAGAGGCTAAATCTGGTCCATCATGGATTCTTCTCCAGAAATCAGTACAATGCTTTGTTTAAAACATATACTCACCATCCTTCTTTGATTCTCTGTTGCTGTGCTAACACACTGATCAAAAACCACTTGGGAAGGAAAGGCTTTATTTCAAACTTAGATGGTCCATCATCAAGGGAAGCAAAGGCAGGAACTCAGACAGGAACCTGGAGGCAGGAACTAAAGCAGAGGCCATGAGTTACTGCTCACTGGCTTGCTCCCCATGGCTTGCTCAGCTTATTTTTTAGTGGCACCCAGGACCATTTGCCCAGCGATGGTACCACCCACAGTGGCTTGGTTTCTCCCACATCAATCATCAACTAACAAAATTCCCACAGACATGTCTACAGGCCAATCAGATGGAAGCAATTCCTTGGTTGATGTTCCTTTTTCCTAGCTGCCTCTAGTGTGTACTGACAAAAACGAATCCATGCACTCATGTTTATAGAAACAATGATGAAATATAGGCTTTAGGAAGCTAACACCAGCACAACTTACACTGGACAGACTGTAGAGACTAGTTAAGACAATTGCAGTAGGATTAATGACATTTCCTTAACTCTCAGTGTCCCATTGATGATGATCAGATTGAAGAAACAGATACCTTAAAAGTTCATGCCCCCTCCTCCCAGCCATTCAGTCCTAGATCAGCTTCCCTTGTGTTGAACTTAAGGAAAGCTCCCTCTGAGAAGTTAGAGGGAGCTTCAGGTATGAACAGTTTAGGCATTCTCATATATTGAATTACAATAGCTTTTGATAGGATCTTAGAGGTACCCCTAAGTGTTGTTGATAATGCTTGCCTGAGAGCACATCCTCACAGCGTGATGTGGGGATTGGGGAGCTGCACTTGAAACAGAAACGGTCTGAGTTAATGATTGCTGGAACTGGGGGTCAGAGATGGGATTCTTTATAAGCCTCTGCTGGATGGTTTTTATGTCAGCTTGACACAAGCTAGAGTCATCTGAGAGAAGCAGACCTCAAATGAGAAAATGTCCCCATCGGGCAGGCCTACAGGCAAGCCTTCAGGCATTTTCTTAAGTAGTGACTAATGTGGATGGGCCAAACCGGGGCTGGTGGTCCTAGATGCTATAACAGGCTGGACAAGCCGTGGGAAGTAAGCAGGTAAGTAATACTCCTCCACAGCTTCTGCTTCAACTCCCGCCTGCGGGTTTCTACCCGGCTTGAGTTCCTGCCCTGACTTCCCTCAGTGATGGACTGTGATGTGGAGGTGGAAGCTGAAATAACCCCTTTCTTCCCCAAATTGTGTATTGTCATTGTAAGCCCCTCCAGGCCCCACCCCTGGGGACCGCCCACCTCCAGGCTCTGCTCACAGAACACTCTCACGGACCCAGCCCCTACGGACACAGGTGGCAGAGCTCCACTCTGCAAAGTAAAAGGTCCAAGCTCAGGACTTGAAAACCCACCAGTCCCCACCCTGGAAATCTCCACCCTACGGAGCTCTGCTCCCAAGGCCCCCGATATAAACCCTGTCTTCGGCTCAGTTCTTGGCTGCTTCTTGACAAAGCAGAGGCAGCCACCTTCCTGGGTTTTTCCCTCCCAATAAAGCTTCTGTCACACTCCATCTCCACAGACAAATGCTAATAGCTAGATGCCAGTTATTGCTGAGACCACCCTCCTCCCTCCCCTCCCCACTCCTCTCCCTTCCTCTCAGAAACTGTGAAGCCCAGTACAGAGAACACGTGGGTACACAGGTGCGCCGTCCAGCTTTAGAGGTAGAGCACAGCCAGTTTCATCTGCCTTCGGGCTCCCTCCTCCTCCTCTTCTCCTTCCATCCTGTCCACCACTAACCACTTTCCTAGATGCTCTCATTACCCCGTCCCTGCCTCGCTTGAACTTTACAAATGCCTCAAGTGCATGTTTAGCTTGGTTCCTGGTTGAGCTCTGTCTCGATGGCAAAGAGTCTGTGGTCTCTGGGGACTTGCTCCCTGCCCTCCCCCATCGTGTTTCTCAGGTCCAATCATGACAGTGTGAGGAGCTGCCAATCATGTTTGCTGTTACTTAATGACCTGCTGTGTGAAGAAACAGCAGCCACCATGGTCACACATCACCCGTGTCTATTTTTGTTGTCAGACTCATACATTTTGGCCAACCTGATGAGAATAAAATAATTTGATTCGAGTCCTTTTTTTTTCTTTTTCTAAGACAGGATCTCACTATGTCACCTAAGGTAGACGGTAACCTGTGACCCTCCTGTCTCAGCCTCCTGAGTGTTGTGATTACATGTGTGAGCCATCATCGTGACCTCACTGAAGTTCTAACTTACATTTCGTTGTGACTAACAAGGATTAATTAATGTCTTTATGTTTGTTTGCCTGATTTTTTTTTATTTTTTTTTCTTTCAGTGTTTACTTACATCTTTTGCCATTTGTTTTGTCTTTATAGGACAATTTTTTTTCATAATATAGGATTTCTTTTTGGAGCAATGCTTTCCACTATTTATTTATTTGTTTTCCACTATTTATTTATTGATCTTTAAATTTTTAGAAATATTGCATTTAGAACTGGAAAAAATCTTTTCAAATACATCACTCACTCCTTTTCCTCAAATCCCCCCCCACCGAGGAAAATGAGAGCAAAAAGATACCAGAGTGACTTGCCCGATGCCACAGCCGTATTTTACAGCCGTGCCCAGGCTAGCACACGGCCTTTTTGACCCCATTTAAACTGCTTTGCTATTATACCATGATAAACTTTTATCTATTTTTTCTCATTTCATTAATCTTTTGTTTTGTTTTGTTTTTCAAGACAAGATTTCTCTGTGTAATCCTGGCTGTCCTGGAACTCTCTCTGCAGACCAGGCTGGCCTCAAACTCAGAGAGCACCTGCCCCCACTTCCTGAGTGCTGGGATTAAAGGTGTGTGCCACCACCACCTCGCCAAATTTCATTAAATTTTTTAATGTTCAAGTCATGCATGTTCCTGGTAGAAAAAAAGGAAAAGAAAAACATTTGCAAAACAAGGAAAAATTAAACTAGTTTTAGTTCCATCTTCCAAATGGGACTGGGAAAGTCTGTGTTTCCTTTCCAGGCAAAACTAGACGGCCACTGTGGGATTAATCCTTGCTTGGTGAGAATTACTATGTGGTGCTTACCATGCACGAAGCATTATGCTAAACATTATATATGTTTTATTTCATATATTCTCACAACTCTCTGGAAGGGATTATCACCATTATCTTTAATTCGTCAGGCAATCCTAAAATATTTACAACCTTTCTTTCTTTCTTTGTCTTTTTTTGATGGAATCTCATTATATAGCCTTGACTGGCCTCAAACTCATAAAGACCCTCCTGCCTTGACCATCCTGGAACTCACTCTGTAGATGAGGCTGGCCTCAAACTCACCAAGATCTCCTGCCTCTTCCTCCTGAGTGCTCAATTAAGATCATGCACCACCACGCATGCCTCTTTTTTCTTTTTTTGAGTGGTGGGTTTGAGGTGAGCGCTACCACACCCAACAGTGTGTACATCCTTATCCCAGGAATATGTGATGATGTCATGTTACCTGACATAGGAAATATAAGACTGCAAATAGAAATAAGTTTGATATTTAGTTGACCTTGAAATAAGGAGATTATCCTCAATGTCCTATCTGGGCCCACCATATTCAGACGGAAAGAGGAACGGAGGCAAGAGAATTGGTGTCTGAGGACTGAGATGGAAGACTCAACCCCATTGCTGACCAAAAACAAAAGAAACGTGATTAGACCCTAACTGGCCAGGATTTCCTCCGAGAGTTCTCAGAAAGGAGTCTAACCCTGCAGAGCTCTCCGTGTTGGCCTCGTAAAGGCTGCAGAGCCCCAATGATGGCTAATGTGGAGATATCCAGAGAATCTTGGGGTGGGGAGATGACTCTTGAACTGATCCCAGGGGACTCACATAGCTCATCCAGTGAGGAGGCAGGAGCGTCGGCAGGGGTAGGAGGAGAAATGAGAACACAGAGGTCTGCCCTTCCCAGCCTTGTAGCCAGGGGGTCCAAGGGGCCTCCAGCCTCCAGGGGAGGCAGAGAAGCAGATTGTCCTTGAAGCCTCTGGAGGGAGTGAGTCCCCACCCTTTTTACCCAGCGACACCCACTTTGGACTTCTGAGCACTAGTGCTTGTAAGATACACATCAGCACCACTTCCAGCCTCGTGTACTGCCTTCCACAGGCAACAGGAGACCAACAAACACACGGAGAGGTGACACAAAGCCAGCTAGTGATGAAAATGGGATTTCAACCCAAGCCAGCAAGTGGCAGAGCCCACATCCTCGGCCGCTGGGACACTCCTGGAAAGACAGAAATTCCAGGAGCACTGCACATCAATAAATGCAAACATCTCCTTAGCCGGCCCACTGTGAAGTAGCCGCACCCCACTGATTGTGCTAGGTCCCACGCTGTTTCCAGTGTTTCAGTGGCACAGAATTGCAAGCGATGAATTTCATTTTAAGAGATAGTATTTCTTTAGGGAAACTCTTAGAAAGAGAAAAGCTGGGTCAAAAAAAAAGTGTATTTTAGAAAATGGCCAAATTACCCTTCAAATGGATGGCAATGGAATGGAATTTAAAATCACAGACAGCTAGATTTGGAACAATGCACCTTCTGCTTCAAAAATGTCCTTGGTCTTAATCCATTTTCTTATCTAAGATCCACAGTTAACATAATTACACTTTTGTCTTTGGCTATATCATCCTTTCTTCTGTAGAACCGAAGTAGTTACAAGGATATTCAGAAGTCACCAAATCTAACCCTTTAAGTTACACGTAAAACTGGGACTCTTCTATTGGGAGAGCCTAGAGGACCCACATACCTCACTCAGGTCTAGCCTCCTGTCCTCATCAGCTGCTGAGGTCATGAAGATAGCCCCCAGGCACCAACACTTACTGATCTGTTTTCCCCTTTGAAGTCAAGTGAGAAATCTGTTGTCTTTTTAGGCAGAGGCTCGTTATGAGACAGGAGGCTAATAAGCTTCCAGATAGCCAGTTACTAGAAGACCAACTCAAGGCTTGTCCTGGAACAAGTCTTTTGTTCCTTGTAAAATTTGGTAAACTGATGGCTGGGAATAACTCCACATCGCCTAATGTTTTATGTAAGCATTCTCACATAAATGGATAATAGAACATTCGCAGCCATCACCTTTACCCCCCCTCCCTCCGCGCCCCCATTTTCTATGCTACTCAGGAGCTTCCTCTGATAGATACAAGCATAGGCCGACTCCCTCCCCTGTCGGTGAAGCAAACAATGAAAGAGGGAAGCACACTGCCTTTGTCTGACCTCAGTCGCTGAAGGTGGACCCCGCACATTACATCAGCAGGCCGGCTCCATTACACTGCCCCGCGCTGTGCTTGAGCTACTGAAATATTGATTTTTTTACAGAGCGGCGCGCACACACTGAAAAATCAATATTCCAGTGCACACAACAGAACCTGCGGCAGAGCCTGGACCAACTCCGAGGCCCAGCAAGCACTGCTGGCAGGTCTTAGCCGAGCAGGGGGTGGGGGCTTGGAGGAGACATTGCCTGGGGAGAGCCCCCTAACCCAGTCCCTCCCGCAAACGCAAACCCGGAAGGGTCAGATAAATACGCAAGTGTGGAAGTGGAAAGATCCCCGAGGATAAACAGTTGGAAGGAGCAAGGATTTATCTTTCCAAAGGGGGAAAGGGGGAGAAGGGACGAGTAAATTAAGAAGACAGGAAGGGAAGAATTTTTCAGGTAAGAATCTTCCCATGAAAATGTATCTTTCATTTTCTATATCATTCAGCCAGACTTAAGATGGGAAAAAAAGATGATATAGGTGCTAAGAGAAACCAGGCCTGTTCTGAGGAATATCTAATTTTAAAAGCTACAGCTCCGTTTTCTTTGGTGGCCAGAGGCCGTGGGTTTCACAACAACCTGGGCTCTACCTCTGCATTGACATTGCTGTCTTCTTCTTGGGGAGGGGGGAGGGACGGAAGAAATCTAATCATGTGGTCTTTCTTCTACAAACACCTTCCTCCACGCGTGCTTGGGGAACTTGGAGAACCTCGTACAGATTGCTTCCTTTTACCCTCCAGGACGTGAGCAGTTCGGAGCTCCTTGATTTAGGTTCTCCTTCCGGATGCAGGAGACCTTGACTCCAGGTGGCTAAAGTCCAGCTGGGGTCAGAGTGCAGACAGATCGACCTTTGGGTTAATCCCTGTAGACGTTAAAAAACAAACTGGTAATTTTTTTTGACACTTTTAGGTAGTTCTTGGCCTCCTTTTACTTAGAGATGGGCAGTGGGCAGCTAATTAAAAGGGATGGCTTTTTAACTTTGATGAATACTTGATAAAGCTTTGTCCTAGAATTCCCTTACCGAGAATCTCGCTGTCAGTTCATTTTAACACTCAGCCCCGGAGGAATCAACGTGTCCTATTCGAGGTTTCTATTTCCCACTCTGCCTAGGAGGCGGCCTCGTCTTCCCCTACTCAGCGGAGACCCAGGCCCAATCTGGGCTCTGGCCCGGCCTGGAAGGGGCTGCGGGCAAAGCTGCGTTCAGCGTTTTCTCGTACTCCGGCGGGAAGGAGACCACGTCTAAGCTAGATCACCCCTAGGCGCTGAACCCAGAGGCCGGGCGGGGCCGGACTTGGAGCCAGGTGGCCACCTGGAGCGACGCGCCCCGCCCGGTTCCGGGGCCGCCCCCGCCCCGCCCCTCTGGCTGCAGGCCCCGCCCCCTCCCTCCTGAAGCCCTGGTCGCAGCTCTATTTGCATAAGGAGGCGGCTCCCCGCCCCGCCCAGCGCGCACGTGACCCCGGGGAGGCGGAGGGAACCTGCTGACTTGACACGAGCCGTTTTGCGGCTCTCCTTGGCGCGGAATAGCAAGAGCAGCCGTGACCTCCGACCCCGCCCGCCGGCAGCCAATAAGAGCGCAGGTCGTCTCCAAACCCAAAATTTCCACGTCGGCAAAAGTCAAGATGGAAGGGAGCGGAGCGGAGCGCCCGCTGGGAGCTAGCCGCAGCGGCCGGGGATGCGGAGGGCCGGACTGCGGCGCGCGGGGGGCCCCTTTGGGAGGGCGGCCAGGCCAGACAGGCCGAGGCAACCCCCGGCCGCAGCTCCGGAGCTCTGGACCCCGCTCTGTCGGCCGCACTCACCGGCCCGGCAGGATGGGGACTGCGCTCTGCGGACCTGTTGCACGCGCGCAACAGCTGCTTGCGCGCAGTGCGTGGGGAGGTGTGCGGGACTCCGCATGGTGGTCCCGGGTGGGCGGGTTAGGGGCACCGGGCCTGTGTCGTGGGCTGAGTGCAGATCCGCTGCGGAGGCGCTGCTCAACCGGACAGAGGGAATCCGGGAGACGGGGTGGGTGGCACCGAGGGACCAGGGCTTGCGTGGACGCGGGTTCCTGGGACTGTGCGAGGGCAGCTGAATAACCGGAGTAGCGTGGTGAGAATGGCTGGGGGGAAGGGGAGGCCTGGAAGAGCCTGGCTTTTTCGGGACATCCCATCTGTGGAGCACTGCTCCGGCTCGTGTTCTCCGACTTTGACTCCCAACTCCAGGAATTCGTCCTCATGCAGACCTCCCCGCCCCCACTAACTTTCCAGATGGGAAGGTAAAAAGTTGCGACAACTTAGATGGAGTGAGTTAGCTTCTTGCCAAAGTTTAGTAACAGGCCGGGAGGAGGTGGCGGCTGGACAGTGTGTAGGTTCTGGTGTGGGCTGGGTAAGAAGGAGGAGGCATTGTGTGCTTCCAGCGGTTCGTTTGCCGTGACATTGCCACCAGAGTCTGTTAGGACACCGTTTCTACTGGGCTTTTACGCCTGCTGACTGCGGCAGTAATTTTCCATAATTAATGATCCGTTCCACTATTGGTCTCATCCTGAGCTAAATTGTCTCTAATGAGTTTATTCTTCTTTGCCTACGCTGGGGGTGGGGTGGTGGGTGGCGGGGGAACACACCTGCAGGACGAAACTTCTAGAGGAAGACAGCCGGTTTGGTCTTTTGAGGCAAAGTTCTGAGACACTTCGACTCTGAGTATGATAGAAGTCAGTGCACTACAGAACTTTGTCTCTAGAGGCTATGGTCGCCGCCTCCCCGCAAGGGCCCTGGACGCCAAGCTGGTGGCCCTGTTGGCCACGTCGTTGCACCTTTTTCTTTGGGGGAGGGGCAGGCCATAGGGGGCACAAGTGCCCCATGAAGAACTTGACAAACCGCTTTGTAGCCAATGGGTTAGATCACATGAAGGGAACAGCTACCTTCCCCCCACCCCCATTTTCTTCTTACCCTGGTGGACTCTGATTGCATCTCCCCACCCCCCGAGTTATTTTAAAAATACTGAAACGGTCTGGCTTCACTTATTGGGCAAGGAGAGGAGGACCACAAGTTTATTGATGGGTGTGTTGGTGTGTCCAAACTGTACCCTTAAAGAAGGAAATGCGTTTGTGCCAAAGCCACAGATAATGCTCCTTTTACTCAAATGTCCTGGTAGATAAACGAGCCTGCAAGGACCCGGTTTGGGGATTTAGTTTCAGTTCTGAGTCTGATTTAGGCCCAGTTCACTTTTCTTTCTTTTCCTTTTTTTTTTTTTTTTTTTTTTTTTTAGTGGGTTTTGTTAATGGAAAGGAAGTACCTTTTCTAAGAAATCGTTTGACAGTCATTTATGAGGTTACTGTTTATACTTTGGGGCTGTGAGATACTTTACATGGCGAAACTGCTCTCCTGGACCCTGATGGAATGTGGGTTGTGGTTGGCACGTTGCACTCAATCGTCTTCTCTGTGCAGTGGGCAGTGACTGGCATTGAACTGTATCTTGTTCCATGGTCATTGCCCTATTTTGATTTTATGAGCATTTGGCTGGAGAGCCGATGGGGTCAAGGAATTACAAAACCTTTATTAACAAAGACACTTATCTGACACATGCGTGCTGGGTGCCAGGCTGTGACGCCTGGGGATGAGCAAAAGAAGTCTGAAGCCTCCTGTTGTGCTCACAGGCTAGGGAATGCTGAAAGGACCCCCTGGGACAGTTCGCAGGATGCTTCAGAAGCCCTGGGGCCATGGGGTTTGTGTCTCTGGAAAGTCTTGATTTAAAACACAAGAACCCACCACCTTTATTCCTGCATTTATTCCAGTTTAGAGCTTTGATAATGGAGGGAGAGTCAGTGAGGAAGGTACTGGATCCTGACTGAAGGTCTCTCCAGTTGGTTTTCACTTGTGTCTGGATCCCAGAGCCCAGGTACTCTTCTGAGACCATTACCCATTCTCCTTTCCCATCAGTTGACTGTTGAGCTCCATCCCTTCGCCTTTCTACCCAAGAGGTAGCTAATGATATTTTTTGCAATGAATAAAGTGATCCAAACCCAGGTCCTTTTTTTTTTTTTTTTTTTTTTTTTTGGTTATTTAAGATACAAGGTATGTTTCCTGGTAAGGAGGATTTTCTTTCCTGGTTTTTGTGAGTGAGAGTGTCCACAAGATACTATGTAACCAACTTTGTAAGAGAGTGCAGGTGACCTGTGGAGGGTATAAGGTGAAGTGGTTGGCTGGGAGAGTGGTCATCCATGCAAAGGATTAGGTTAGGACTTCACCTTCAAATAAGAGCAAGGATTGAATCTCTCACATGGGTCCATCTGGTTTGACTTCATTATAAAAATGATTTGGTTAAGGGACTTACTTTGTCTCCTGCCTGTGGCCATGAGTGAATTAAAAGACCAGACAGACGGGAAGGCTTGTGGCTTATGCTGGTGCTGTGCATGCCTGGAGTAGGGTCGAGGAAAACCAGCAGGCTGGATGTGCTGTCAGGCTGTCAGTCTCGCACGGATCTTAGTCACTGAGTGACCAGAACCTTGTTACCAACTGAGCATCCGGTGTTAGGTGCTAGGGTACAGCTGGGAGCAAAATCAGCTCCGACACCCATTCTGGAGTTCCTTCTTACGTTAGAGGTGGACAATGCCACCAGCACCCGGAAGGTTGGTAAGCATGGCAAGGAAGGGTCGACAGGCCTTTTCCAGAAAACGAACCAAATGAAAGAGAGCTGGATTGTGTCACTGAACACCTTTGGTCTCTCGCTATGTAAAAAAACCATTTTTATCCTTAAATGCAAAGGTTGAGAACTGTGGGCATGGCTCTAGACGATACCTAGAGTGAGGAACTAGGGCACTATGCCACTGGGCCACTGATTCTTGGTTGATTAATTCTAGGATTTTCTTGAATTTCGGAATAAAATAAAACAAGCTCCTCTTGTCTCAGCTACTTCTTAGGGACTTTTAAACTCATTTTAATTACTTGTCTGTGGGTATATGCACATGGTTATCAGTGCTCCGAAAGGCCATAGGCATGCCTTCCCCTGGAGCTGGGGTTACAAGGAGCTGTGAACTGGCTAGCATGGTGATGGGGACTGAACTTGGGGCCTCGGCAAGTGCAGCATATGCTTTAGCCTTGAACCACCTCTCCAGGTCCTCAGGAAGTCTTCAAATCCCCGGGAGCAGGGTGGACACTCTGGGACTTTCCAGGAGCCACAGGTGTGCTGCTATCAAGTCCATGTGTGAAGTTCAGGAAGCTCCGGCTTAGCTGCTCATTCAGTGACTTAAGTTGTCCTTAAGGACAGTAGGTAGAGCACGTACAGGGGCTTCCTAGGGTAATCACTACAGACACAGGTTGAAGTCTTAAAAATGCAAAGGCTGTACATTGGGCATGCTGCTGTAGGTGACAGGTAAGCCATATGGTAGCTAGATGCAGGGAAGACGGTGTCCCTTCAGCAGATCCCTAGTGAGATTGGGGCGGATTCTCATGATTCTGAGCCACAAGTTCATTAACCGGATGCTAAGGACATTAGCAGAGGCTTTGGCCTGAGGAAAAAGCCAATGCTAAGATGGCCTCTTTACCGCCTCCTTAGCTAGTCTCTTCTTGTTCATAGGAAAATAAGCCATTGTAGTTACATATACACAGCACTTGATCTGAGCCCAGGGTAGTTGTACAGAACTTAATTTGTGGTGAGTATTATAGAAGCCTTCATATGTTAAATCCTTGTAGTTGTTCCTTCCCATGCGACAGGTGGGGAAAGTAAGGCAGATTAAATCATTAAATTAAATCTGGCTGTTTAGGTACAAACCCTCCAACACCAATCAGCAATCATGAAATCACTGTTCCCTACCCCCAACATGCCATCAGACCAATCTGAAAGAGGCAGTTCCTCAGCTGAGGGTCCTCCTTCCCAGGTATGTCAAATTGACAACCAAGATCAGCCGTCACACCCAGCACCCAGGGTCCTAGTCTGTCCTGAATAGCTATGCCCTAGTGCAGTTGTCCTCAACCTGGGGATCGAGAGAACCTTTCACAGGGGATACATTCCAGATATTTATTTTTCATAACTGCAAAATTACAGTTTTGAAGTAACAATGAAAGTAATTTTATGGTTGGGGGAGGTCACCCCAACATGAAGTGTATTAAAGGGTTGCAGCATTAGAAAGGTTGAGAACCGCTGTGTGTAGTGGGTATCATTTCCACATCTAACTATAGTGCTATGGAGCCTGACAATCTAGATTCAGTGTTAACAGTGCTCAGTCCCAAGTATTTGCTCCATACAAATGTTTGTCTGTCTTTGGTGTGAGAGCTCCTTTTCCAAAGTGGTGATACACTACTTTGGAGATTGCTGTACTATTTCGG